ATTGTGGCTCAAAATGACAAAGGTGCAATTTTTTCCCCCTTTGTTGCCCACAGTCTTCCTGATGACCAGAGGCAAGGCCAGCCTCAACCAGCATATCCCACCAGGAAAACTCCCAATTTCCAGGTGGTTGGAGCCACTCAGAAGTAGATGCCTAGGTTGTGAGCCCTACTGAAGTGAGGAGGTTCTATTCACAATTACCCTGCTCGGATGGACCCTACTAAAAACCTGCAAAGTCATCCCTGGACTAGCTTTCACTAGAAGCGGCTGAATGGACACATGGGGTAGGGGGAAGAAAAACTGGTTATCTGTGTGGACTGGGCAGGCTCAGCAGGTGGCATAGGAACATACTGCTTATTTGTGGATAGAAAGCAGTAACCAGGTGTTTTTTCCTTTACCTTTTTCTTCTTATTTCTTCATTACTATTGTATTTTTTCTATTATTTGCTTGTTTGTTTTCCATCTTTCTTATTCATGTTTTCCTTTCTTGCATCATCAGACAGGAGACAACAATGGCAACCTTATAGCCAAACTAGAGCTTTACCATCTTCAACCCCACCAATTTGACTACAGTCAGTATCAGCTGCTATACACTGGATCAATGACAACAACCAATGTCAGCTAAATCCACCCTGAATTGCTTTGCATGAAACAATGTACAGAGAACAGCACACAAGCTCATCTCTTGACCATAGCCACCAGGAGGCAATTGGTGAGTGTCTAAGGATATACCAACATACATTCATCCATTTAAATAAATACCACAGCAACATTATGCTGCGAAAGCAGCAGACAATTTCTGTTTACATTAACAAACAAGACAGAGTAGCTCAAACAAATGACCAATATATGTAGACTGGTGGTGGTGGTGGTGGTATGCTGTGGAGTTGGTTCCGACTCATAGCGATCCTGCATAGGGTTGCCGAGGCTGTAAATCTTCACAGGAACACAAAGTCTCATCTTTCTTCCATGGAACAGCTTGTAGTTTTGAACTGCTGATTGTGGGGTTAGTAGCCCGACTCGTAACTACTACGCTACCTGTGTTTTTGAGGAAAAAGAGGTACTGGAATTATCTGAAAAAGAATTCAGGAGAATGATATTTAGATACCTCCAAATGATTGGCAGAAAGGTCAAGGAAAACAAAGGAAGAATTCAGAAAAGAGCTACATGCACAATCAAACAAAATAAATAAAGGACTGGATATAATACAAAACCTACACACAGAAATTCTTAAGAAATTCATAAGATTAATACTTAGATATCAGAAATGGAAAACACACTGAAAGAGCAAGATTTGAATTAATGGAGGCCAATATTAATGGGCTTGTAGATAAATCTCTCAATACTAGCATGCTGGAAGAACAATCAGAAAAAAACAATGAAAAAAATTGAAGACAGTCAAAAATTCATGTGGCACAACATGAAGAAGAATAACCTATGAGTGATCAGAATTCCAGAATAGGAAAAAACAAAGAAAAACATAGAAAAGATAGTCAAATAGTTGCTCAAAGAAAATTTCCGTAACATCATGTAAGATGAGAAGACAAGCAATCAAGAAGCTAAATAAACCCCAAACAGGTTAGACCCCAAAAGAAAATCACCAATACATATCATAATCAAACTCTCCAAAATCAAAGACAAGGAAAGAATCCCGAAAGCAGCTAGAGAAAAACAAAATGTTAGCTACAAAGGAAAACCAACAAGATGAAACTCTGATTTCTCAGTAGAAACCATGAAGGCAAGAAAGTAATAGAGAGATATATACGAAACTCTGAAAGGAAAAAACTGCCAACCAAGAATCACATTCCCAGCACAACTGTCCCTCAAATACGATCATGAAATTACAACATTTCCACATAAACAGATATTAAAGGAATCTGTAAAAACCTAGCCAACTTTACAAAAAATACTAAAGGGAGTCATTTTTACTGAGAAGCAACAACAAACAACAAGCAAAGACTGACATTCACGGCAACACCACCCATAATTCAGTCCAGATATAGAAGTATCCAGCGTAAAATAAAACTGGTGGTGGTGGTTATGTGCCATGGAGTCGGTTCCGACTCCTAGCAACCCTGTACAGGGTTTCTGAGTCTATACATCTTTATGGGAGCAGAAATCCTCATCTTTCTCCCGCGGAACAGCCAGCAGTTTCCAACTGCTCACCTTGTGGTTCACAGCCCGATTTGTAACCACTACGCTACAAGACTGAAAATAGAGAATCAGATATAGCAATCTAAAATGCAGATAACTACAAAGCAAAGAATGAAAAGTATTGTTACCGAATACCAAATAGCAAGAAAATTAAAAAGAATTAAAAAGCAAGGGAATCAAGTAGATTTCAAGCTAAAACAGAATTGTTTCAGCAGTACACCTGTATGTGTGTGGCATTGTTAATAAGTGTCGTTGACTCACTTCCTAGTCATAATGACCCCACGAAGGGTTTCCGAGGAGCATCTGGTGGATTTTAACTGCCTGTCTTGCATTAAACAGTCTTCAACATTGCAAAAATAATAGTAATGATACATATGCTTCAAAAAGTCTGTTGGAAAATTCCATTATATTTCCATTCAATTGTTCCACAAACTTTTTGAAGCCTACTCATATTAGTGGAGCTAAACTATGTACCACACTGGGAGAGAATTTGGGGATCAATAGCAACCATTACTGAAATACACTACAGACTCAAATAAGTATTAATGCAGTTAAAACAAGCATTAATAATCTAAAAGTATGTTCTCTGAAGCAAGGGGAAATATAATCTTGTTCATATGTATGTTCTCATCAGCACCTATTATTAATGATATCACATAAGAACTTGAGAGTACAGAACTAATGACCATATTCACATATAATGTCCAAAACCAGAAATGTGTACTTAGAGGAAAAATGATTAAAGTGAAGAGAAACAAAAATACCTATGCTAAGATTTTAGAATGACAGGCAATTTTTTTTAGTTCCTTTAAAATTGTTCTAATATTCTACTAATAAAAAGATGTGAAACCTTATCACATCAGACTCACAAATATTTAATAAAAGGAATAATACAGCAATAATGGCTATTGCTAACATATCTTGAATGTTTACCCACGTACAGAAACAAGACACTATCCTTTTATGTGAGAAGCTCATTCTACGATTTCTTTCTAACAAAATGGTAGAATGCTTAAAGACACTGATACAAAGCTGTGTGTGAACATCATAAAGCATATCCTGATTTATTATTTTACCTTATTTTAGAATTCCCTATTAACATTAGGGGATTGTCTGGAGAACCTCTTGAGGTTCCTCCCAATTCTACTCCTATAATGCTACTACCTATGTTGATACTAACTGATCCTCAAAATCCACATATGATTTCTCAAAGCTGACTCTGCCCATCCTTACAAAGAGAGAAAAATGTGTCAAATTCATTAAGATTTCCTAAAAAAAATAGATCCTCCTTTCTGGGAGAGGATTAAAAACCAAGGAAATTTAAAACAAGGTATCCCAAGCTCTATGTCATATTTATAAAATCAGGTTTAGACCTAGAAATCTGAACTTTAAAATCTCTCAGGTGGGTCTCATAGTCAGGCTACTTGGGAGTACACTTTCATAAAACAAGATAAATTTTAAAACTATAATTTCCATTCTAGATGTCTATTTTGTGGAGCTCGTAGGTTACAGTAATACTATAATATGCTGTTTGTGTTGTTGTTTAGTGCTACACAGTCTGTTCTGACTCATAACTACTACTCTGTGTAGTTTCTGAAGCTATAAATCTTTGGAGGAGCAGACAGCCTCATCTTTCTCTCAAGGTAGACTGTTGAGCTCAAACCAACAATCTTGTGGTCTACAGTCCAAAGCTTACCCTACAAAGCCATTGCACTCCTCCCTACAATACTATTCATTTTTAAATGTGGAAGAAACTATATAAATATAGTTTCAGATAAGTCTATCTACCAACTAATTGTATTCCTAGGGATTTTAAAATAACATTGTAAAAAAAAAAAAAATCTAACTAGAACTTGACCTATTAGTTAAAATCTGTCTTCTGTTTGAAGAAAACCTCACCATTTTTCAATAAATAAATAAAAATATTTTTACTAAAAGCTTCTGTATTCTAAAGAAATAGTTTATCAACAGTTACTCACAAGAACTAATCATTCATTTCTGGAGAAACATGCTTTCCCTGTTGCATTCTTAGAGTTTAGAACTAGAAGGGACCTTTGGAGGAAATCAGCCAACTCAATACCAGGTTTTTTGAATGAAGGTTTAGATGAGGGAACAGATGCCCAAAAAGGTTTAAGGAACTTATTTAAACTATCAAAACTGCTTATTAGCACAGCCAAGAGTTCCAGAAGTTGCTTCTCTTTAAATAAATAATAAAAACATATATTGTGTAATTTTTCAAGATAGTTACAAAAGGTCTACAGCTTCTAAACTTACAAGTAGTTATTTGTCACATTTTACGATTTTTCTTGTAGTTTTTGCTCATTAACCGTTTCGTTGCACCATCTGCTCTCTTAATGCTGTTGTTAAGTGCCATC